GATGCTAAACTACTTATTAAGCTGTAGTTATGTATTACCAATATTGTTCCTGGGGAACTCAACAGAAAAGTAGATTATAAGGAATTTGACAGGATCGCTCGCTTAGGGAAATTAGTTCACTATACTTTATATTTTTACCAATGTTCATAGCCTCAAATCTGTCATAGAGGATGTTATAGTCTGCTGGATTATTGTATGTTTCTTGTAGAGAAATGAAGAGGCCGGATCTTGTTGCTACCATTGTTATCGTCTTCAGTATCAAAAGCAATATACACAGAAATTAGGATGCTGAGATGTGCTGTTGTAGTTGCCAAGGATATAATTGCTCGGGATCTTCTAGCAGATTTAGGATTGTTTTGTGTAATATTCCATCAACTTGACTATTTTTCCAACTTGAATGCAGGTGATTTTCCCAAGTTTTGGTGAGCGATATCTTTCCTCTGTGCTTTTTGAATCCGTGAGGCGAGAGGCAGAGAACATGACATTCGAGTAAACAGCTTGCTGGCTTTCGATCCCTCCCATGTTTTTGAGCAAGACCATACCTATTTCAGTTTACTTCAAATATTTCAATGAAATTGTTGGAAATAATATGAAGCTTATTTTTATAGACTTAGCATGAGCTGTGTTGTGGACATATAGACGAGGTGATGGGATTTTGAATGTGCGGTTTCTCTTCTTCCATTTCAGGACTTTTGGTCTTGCCATTGGCAAAACATTAAGAGTTTGCAATCTTTACTTGCGTTGTGCCGTTAAATTATAGGTTCAATTAAATACAATTAATTATGGATCATTTAATATGACATGATATGTTGACATTTATACTAATGTCCAACAAGTGTTAGATAGTATTGTTCTACAAATAAACATACAAGTAATAACAATTTTACTCACAGGCTCTAGTAAGGTAAAATTATTAAATAATTTTTATGATAAATATTAAGGTTAAGCTCTCCAATCTGGCACACATGTCATAGCTATATTATTCAATGAACAAAAATGTATTACAATTTTATTGGATAGTGTGATAGTCTCACTATTTCACAAGTAAAAATATAGTAGTATTTCAATTTCATTGGATAATGTAGGTATGACTATCTCGTACAGTTTTCAATTGAATTGAAGAGATATGTTAAGTGATTTGACGATTTTGCTTTTCAACTAAAAGTGATGCGATTTTAACATTTATATCGATTGTTGCCATCACTTGGGACCTAGATTCATATATTTAAGTAGAAGATCTAAAACTCTACTTCTGAAAATTGATCACCTATAATTATATCACGTGAAAGGTTAGGGATCCTATCTCGAATTTTTCTTGCGAAGAGTTATGTGTATAATCAAACGGACCAGCGAAACAACCAACAATATAGGATCAACCAAGTATAGTCATATATCGATTTCAAATGTTATCTAACTTCAAAAATGTTCGAAATTTGTTCCACTATCCAATATTTTCCTTCAGACATGTCCTTAGAAACTACTCCTACTAACACAGGTGGTTAACTCTAATTACAAAATCAACACAAAGGAGAAATATGTTTTCCTTGTTCATTATCCACAAATACACTTATGGTTTTTTCAACAATAATCGATGACTAAAAATCTCAATAGCCAAACAAGTTGAATTGAGCCCCATTTTTGGGTCAAGATGCATTTTGAAATAATATTTAGCTGAAGAATATGTCGTTTTTATTATTCTTTTTTAAAATACAATGCGTGTAAATTATTTTATAGAAAAATGTATGATTGAAAATTAGTTTTTTAGAAAAATGGGGGCCAGAAATCAACTCATGCAATATGCTCACATGACTGTTAGTTGATTTGTCACATTTCAATGTTGTAAAGTCATTCAATAGCTAATTTTCGGTATACCCACGTTTTTTTTTTGTTCGCTTACAAATAAACAAATAAATATGTTTTTTTTCTGGTTTGTTAGAAAGAAAATAAAATCTACATGTGTGTTTGAGTCACATTATTTTAGAAGAATGTATTTTGGAATAGCAGATTGATGGAGAATGTGTGATTGAAAAAGAAGAAAATGTTATTGATGTGATGAAAAATAGTATTTTATTAAAGAATGTGTGGTTAAAAATGAGTAGAAGAATGAGAATGAAAATTTTAATGTGATTCAAATGGAGGGCTTAATGAAATTTTGCCATATAAAGTACAAAAACACATGCATATATCGTCCAATTTTGGAATACCAAACATGACGTGGTTGTCACTTGAACTAATTTGCATACCACGAGAAATGAAAAGAGATTTGATGGAAAAAAAAAAAAAAAATCACAAGACTCTAAACTACCAACAGTGAGCTTGAAATTGTGTGTGAGAGTGATAAATAATTAGATATATCATAAAAAATAAATGGATATAGCCTAGATTTATGACAAGTGCTTAGTTATTTGATAATTTTGGAATCGAACGCTATATGGCTGGCCTATCAAGATGATATTATACTTAGATCTTAAATTTTATAATAATGAACTAGCCAAGATCGAGCTTGTTAATCGAACAAGTTCCCACCACGAGCTCGGATCAAATATTAGGGTTTTTGAAAGATCACGTATATTCTAAATGATTTTACATTTTAAATAAAGATATTTGAGTCATATTTAAGATGTACAATCATTTAAGGATATATAATGATCATTCAGACTGATACTCAACATTGGTCGAGATAAATAACATTACTTTATATTTAAGTATACGAATCTTGAAATTTATTCTCACTCCCAATTTTTTTTTTAAAAAATTCTTTTTCTTCCTTCTCTAAGATGTCTTTATGTTTATTTTCATTTCTAACCTTGTAATATTAGAAATAATTATAATTAAAACAATGCACTTCCAATAGTCGTTGAGGTCTTACAAGGGAACCACGTCCATCTTTTTAAGTGACCGAATTAGATGGAGTCAGTGTAATTGAGATCAAATTAAAATATAATTATCTAATTGAATAAAATTGAAATAAAGTTGCCCAATTGACATTTGGTTGAAAGTACAATTACCTTGGATGAAATTATGGCCCTATTGTGGACCTTACACATGAGAGGATTGTGTACCAACGTGTGTAAGTGTAGAAAGGTTCAACGCTCTTTCTATCAAACGACGTCGTATCCTCTCTCTATCACACGGTCTAGTACAGTATCCAGTCGCCCACTTACCTTGTTTAGCCACACAAAAACACAAAAAAATTGTATTGCGGAAAAAATTAAAATTAAAAAGAAAAAGGGACTCTATGTTAAAGAGCCTAGTCAAACAATGTATATGGACAAAGAGGAATTTCTCAATATTTGTAGGTAAAATGGCCTCCATTAAAAAAAAGAATAAAT